TGTCGCCTCCCTCTGTTCCCGCGCCACCGACTGGGACAGCAGAGCACCCCAGGGGGAGCGGCCGCCCGTTCTCTTCCCTCTCACCGCCCAGCACGCCACCGCTCGGGGTATCGCGGCGAGGGGGGGCGCATGCCGCGCCGCGACACTCCAGTGCCGCCAGCAGGGCCCCAGCTGCCGCCACACACCCCATGGCAAGGGCTGGGCAGGGTCTGACACCTCCCCCTCCCCAAATTCCCCTGGTGGGGGGCCCCGGGGGCGAGGGCGGGGCACAGGTGGAGTCCAGGTGAGGAGCTCTAGGCGCTGCGGGTCTGCCGGCAACTGAGGCGTCATCAGCGCTGTGCGCTCTGATTGGCTCAATTATTACAGTGCCTTCTCTGATTGCCTGAAGAGAGGCCCGGGAGTGCAGAGAAGGAACGGGACAGATCCCACTGGGGCAACAGACCCAGCCTGGGCACAGGGAGGGAATTTATTACCAACCAAACCACAGCAGCACAAGGAGAAGGGAAAGAAATCCCTCCAGCACCTTCCCCCCACCCAACGGGGATCACCCACAACAGGGTTATCCACTATGGAGAGACAGGGACATCTGAGTTTAGACCAAAGCCAATTTTATTGTGTGGAGCAGGTGTTTATACAGCGATTTACTGGTACATTGCTTATATAGGGCTCTGTTTTTGATAACAATTTCCCATTGGTTGCACATTCTTCGTGACATCAGGTCACCTGGGAAACTTATCACAAAGTCTCACACCATTTTGCCTGGCCACTTCTTGCCCAGGGAGACTTAAACTGTGTCTGTGTCTCCCACAGTTTCTGCTCAGTCAGGCCTCAGATATAGGGCCCCTTTATCAGCTCCATTGCTTTCCTCTCTGTTTCATTCCCCATACAGAGGCACCAGGGCTCTGCCCAACGGGGGTCACTGGGGATCATCCAGCCCGGATCCGCCCATGGGGGATGGAGCTGCAGCAGCGCACCAAGATCTTCCCTCACTCTCTTCCTTCACTACAAGCTCTTCCCTCATTCTCTTCCCTCACTCCAAGCTCTTCCCTCACTCGGGGCTCTCACAGGGCTTCCCTTAGTGGTGCATCTGTTGTAGTCTGGTCAAGGCTGAGTTCCTGGAGAAGCTCTCTCCGCACTCCCCACACTCACCCCGGTGTGGATGTGACGGTGGATGGTGAGGTTGGAGTTTCGCTTGAAGCCCTTCCCACAGTCGGGGCAGCGGTAGGGCCTCTCCTCTGTGTGAATCCGCTCATGTAGGAGGACACTGGAGCTGGTATGAAACCTCTTTCCACACTGGGGACATGCGTAGGGCCTCTCCCCGGTGTGGATGCGCTGGTGTGTTCTCAGGTCTGAGCTCCACCCAAAGCTCTTCCCACATTCCAAGCAGGTGTAGGGCCGTTCCCCAGTGTGGATCACCTGGTGCCGGATCAGCTCAGAGCTGTTTCTAAAGCCCTTCCCACACTTCCCACATTCGTAGGGCCTCTCCCCAGTGTGGATCCTTTGGTGCCGAATCAGGTGGGAGCTCCGGATGAAACCCTGCCCACATTCCAAGCACTCATAGGGCCGTTCCCCAGTGTGGATCACCTGGTGCTGGAATAGGCTAGAGATGTCTCTGAAGCTCTTCCCACACTCCCCACACTTGTAGGGCCGTTCCCCAGAGTGGATCCCATGGTGCCGGATCAAGTTGGAGAAACGGCTGAAACCCTGCCCACATTCCAAGCACTCATAGGGCCGTTCCCCAGTGTGGATTACCTGGTGCTGGATCAGGCCGGAGCTCTGGCTGAAACCCTTCCCACATTCCAAGCACTCAAAGGGCCGTTCCCCAGTGTGGATCCTCTGGTGACGGATCAGATTTGAGCTCTGGCTGAAACTTTTCCCACATTCCAAGCACTCATAGGGCCGTTCCCCAGTGTGAATCCTCCGGTGCTGGATCAGGTGGGAACTCTGGCTGAAACCTTGCCCACATTCCAAGCACTTGTGGGGCTTCTCCCTGCCATGAGGCTTCTCCACCAGCTCTGGCTGGATCTCTGCCTGCCTTCCAGGCTCAGGGGAGCTCTTTCCTCCCTGCAGCTCCCTGGGCTGGGTTTGCAGCTCCACATGAGGGATCTCCGGGGCTTTTCCTCTTCCTCCATCCATCCACGCCCTGGAAATGAAAAATCCTGGTTTGGGGGAAAAAACAAGAGGAGAGCATCTTGGATTGGGCATCCCTCCTTGCCCAAGTTCATCTCAGTGTAGTAGATAGGGACAGGCGAACAGAAGATTTTGGGATGTGACGGAAAGCAAGACCCTTCCCCCCCCACCCTGCAACACGTTATCTATTACCCCCAGAACATGTAACTACACCTAACCCAGTAGTTTTCCATTCCTCACTAACCCTAGAGACCCTACCAACCCCCGCTGACGTAGCAAAGTCCCCCTAGGCTATATAACCCCATGAGATAAGATAATAAAGGCCATTTGACCATCCACCACATTGGTGTTAGCGCGTGTTAGTGGCCCAAGTGGCCTGTGTGAGACCAGGCTGCCATGCTGTTCCTTGCAACCAGGTCGCCTTGCCTCCCCTGAAGGCAACATATCTAGTGCCGAAACCCGGGAAGATTCACTCGGGTAGCGGGAGTCACCTGGACAGAAGACAGCGGCCAGGGCGGTGAGACCATATCCTCGGCGAGGGAGAGGTCCCTGGACCCGCAATCGTCATGGACGCCATCGCAAGGGTCGTGAGTGTGATTCATAAGCAGTGGGGTATTGAGTGCAAGCTCAAAGATTTTTATCTTGCTTTAGCAAGGGTGCTTGAGCTTGGGGCAATTGAACGCCCCGTGGATGTATTACATCCGGAGATATGGGAGAAATGCACAGCCACGCTGGCCGAGGACAAGAAATCCTCAGGCAGTGGCAGAAGCCTTAAGGCATGGGGCAAAGTAGAAAAAGCCCTGTGCGCAGCATTAGAAGATCAAGAGGCATGGAGCGCGGCGCACACGTGTTTGTTGGTTACACCCAAGATAGGGGTAGGAGCGACAACGCAAACCGCCCCTGAAGGCAATCCGCCCGGGAGCGGGGATCCGGGGGGGCCCGGCGCGCCACCCCCCTCCCTGGGCCAGAGCCCAAAGCTCCCCGCGGAACCTTCCCAAAAATCCGCGGGTTCCCCATCCATCCCGCCGCCGCTGGTCAGCGACCCGTTGCCGGAGGTGCAGCAGCACGCGGAATCCTTTTGGCAGAGGCTGGCAAAGGAAGCCAGAGATGCAGAAACTGCAGCTTGGGAAGAGATCTGACCCGCGCCACCCCCGTACCCCGTTCAAATTGGCGCCAGCGGCCAAGGAGAGGGGCGGGGCGCGGGCGGTCTCGGCGGGAAAAGCCCAGAGGCGCAGGGTTTTACGAATGCGCGTATGTGGGAGAAAGAGGAGGAGAGCGGCAGAGGGCACGGAGCCAATCGGCAGCCGCGCCTGACACTGCTACCAGTTAAGGGAGAAACTTCCCCCTGCAGGAGGCAGGGCAAGCCCAGGGGGCGGGAGCAGTGCCACCCCCGGGCGGAGGGGCGAGGTCGGAGCCGGACAAAAAGGCACCGAGCCCTGGAAATGCGCTGGCATTCGACTTCCGACTCGGAGTCCAACAGCAGCTCCGGCAGCTCGGAAGAGCTGACGGAAGCCGGCTGGGACTCTGAGACGGAGGAAACAGAGCCAACGCAATTTAAAACAAAACTGAGTAAAGCTTTAAGCCGCACCGAAAAGCAACCACAATACGAACCAGCACAGTTTACCGACTGGGGAAAAATAAGAATAGCCTGTGCTGAATGGTCCCCAGCAGCTGCCATCCAAGCCTTCCTGGTGAGGATCACCGGTCCGGGAGGGAACCAGCAGAGGGTATATACCCCGGTAAACCCAAAAGATGTACAGTAAATTGTCAAAGCCATTGCAGAAAAAGGAATCAATTTGGCCATGGTCTCTTTGGTAATGACAACTTGCTTCCCTTTGATATCAAACTAATAGGTCGCACGATACTTGATGGTGCAGGAATGATCGTGTTTAGACATGAATGGGAGGATAATTGTACAAAGCTACTAGCCCAAGCATCTGGTGCGAGGCAACCACTACACGGATCGAGTTTATCCAGGCTTATAGGAAAGCACGATATGATCACACCTCTGCAACAAGCCATGCAGATGCAGGCTGAGGAGGTCAGAGCGACCACTCGGGCTGCTAGGGAGGCTATCTGCGCAGCTTCTTGGGTTGTGGCCAAGCCGTTGCCATGGTCCACCGTGAGGCAGGCAGAGAGCAAAAGCTTCACACAGTTTGTGGATCGCCTGCAGGCAGCGATAGACTCCTCTACCCTGCCGGCAGAGGCAAAGGGCCCCGTGGTAGCTGACTGCTTGCGCCAGCAGTGCAACTCTGTCACCAAGGATATCTTATGCTCCCTGCCAGCTGGAGCCAGCCTGGCCGACATGATCAGACATGTAGTGAGGGAAGAGCATCTTACACCCATTCAGGCAGCTTGACCAGTGCCATGGCATGTTTCAAGTGTGGGGAGGCAAGTCACATCGCGGTGAGCTGTCCCCAGCCAGCACAGCAGCCCGCGGCGCCTCCACCCCAAGCGTACCCAAGAGGAGCCTGTTGGAGCTGCGGGAGGAAGGGGCACCTTGCTAAGGAATGCAGGTCCCAGCCCCAGGGAAACGGGAAAGGGAGGGGGCGCGCAGGCCGCACTCAGCCTCCTCCCACCGCGAATGCAAGGCGGCCCATCTATGCCAACCCCCAGTGGGGCGGGGCGCCCTTATACCCCATACCCCACAGGAGGCAGCCAGCTTCGTACCCCCGCCAGCGACACAATTGCAGAATTTCGCAACACAGCCTGCAGTACATTCACACCCACTACCACCGCAAGCAGCGCCTGTGCCGCAGGGCCAGCAGGAGACGCCCCAGAGCGGGACCCCTGGGTGGCCCTGGCCATGAAAATAGGGAAGGAGCCCCTGAAGGTGTGGGGGACATGTCGCCTTTATGGCAGCCAGGACCCCCACGTAATAGGGCTTCAGTTTTGGGCAGACACAGGAGCACACTGCTCGATTTTTCCCCAAGCACTGTAGCCCCGACACTGGCAATGCAAAGAAGTCCCCCCAGTGAACGGAGTGGGAGGGCCGTCCCGAGCTTGGAAAAGCACCCAATTGGTAGCTATAACACATCATACAAAAAAGGGACCAGAACAAACAGTAGCAATTCACCCCTACATTTTGCAAAACTCTCCACCCCTGATAGGAAGGGACATCCCCGCTATGTTAGGAGTCAGGATTACAAATTTATAATGAGGGCCACTGCCGTACACCCACTGCTGCCAATCAAACTGACTTGGAAATCACCAGACCCCATATGGGTCAAGCAGTGGCCCCTGTCAAAGCCTCGAATGGCAGCCTTGCTGGAACTGGTTAACCGCAAGCTGCAAAAGGGTCACATAGAACCCTCCACCAGCCTGTGGAACACCCCCGTATTTGTAATCCCCAAGAGATCTGGAGAAGGTTATCGTCTCATCCACGACCTGAGGGAGGTGAACAAGATAATCCAGCCCATGGGTCCAGTTCAGACACTGCTGCCTGCGAACTCAGCCATCCCCGAAGGGCAGCCATGTGCGGTGCTGGACATCAAGGACTGTTTCTTTTCGATACCCCTGCATGCTGAGGACAAAGAACGATTCGCTTTTTCTGTCGTGTTCCTAAACGGCGAGCGACCTAACCTCTGCTTCCAATGGAAGGTGCTACCGCAAGGTCTTGTGGAC